AGTCCAGCCCCCAAACTCTGGGATATTTTCATAAGTTGAAAAAAATGGGGGAAATCATATGCTGGCTTAATTCATGATGCCCTTGTTAACTTTGTGATCCTCTTTTTCCAACCATAGACATGATTTTGTAATTCCCCATCTCTAACAAGTATTAAAAAGGTTCACTTATTTCTAGTTCTAGTGGGCTATTGGCAACAGAGCTCTAATTCTAAATTAGCCCATAGAATGCACCTTTTCGAAATGCTTAAGTTTTTAAGAACATGCCAAACATACCTTGTTCCACATTGACCTTTTTGACATTGATTTCTAATATCTATTTTAAATATGTGTATGTGTACACCTAAATATAGACATTTTTCATTCTGGATATTAACCTTCAACTTTTATGATGACTTGAGATGCCATTAAGACAGTAGTCTAAGAAACCAAGTATAAAAATTACCAGGCAATTAGGAACTGGTGGAAGTTCTTGAGCCTCACGAATAGCATTACAAACACTATGGTAGCCTGAAAAGTTTGACCAACAAAAGTCTGACTACTAGCTGGAAAAAACTGTGACTGGAGCACATCATGACTTCAGGAAATGTGAAGAAAACATAAAAGTAACTGCTGAAGTCGAGTAGTAGGAGCCTATATTCTCAGAGACTGTACTCTAACCAAGGTGTTGAATCACACTCTATTGTTCACCCATTTGTACTCTCACTCAACTAACTTAATTAATTAGGAATTTTTCATTTGGGGGGGGGGAGGCAGCAGCTCCAAATTTCATCAAAGACTCAATCTCCTCTGTCTTTCCTATCATCTTTACACCTACTTTTACCTTGATGGTCACAAGATGGTCCCTTTATCTCCAGCCATTGTGTCTGCATGCCAGGCAAAAAGAAGGAAGGGCAAAAGGTATGTGCTAGCTGAGTTTGCCCCTTTTAATGGGACAGCAATAGGTTGCCAAGAGCTTCCTCCCCCCTCCCCCCCATAGAGTTTGCTCACATATCATTGGATAGAACTAGTCCCATGATCTTAGCTGTAAAAGAGTCTGGGGAGATAAAAATTTTTAACTGATCCAAGTTATTATCCAGTTAAACTGGATATTAAACTTCAACTTCAACTGATTAAAATTACCCAATTTTAATAATCCAAGTTATCTTGGTAAGGAAAAAAAAAAGAAACAGATATTGCAGAGAACCTCTGTGGATCCAGTTAGTGTTTCTAATTCTGGAAGATGTCCCCCCACATCCTGATGCATGCAAGGTCCTTGTATTTTTATACAATGTAGCGCTGTCATAAAATAAACATATCAAATAATTTTCATATCTCCTTTCCTCAGTACATTTTCCTTGGGTACAGAGGAAGCATTTTTATAAATGTGTCAAGTGGCCTGACCCTTTTTAAAGATACCCAATATTACTAAAACTACAAAGATATATATTCCATTCTGAATCTTAATCTTACATGATGCTGTATTTTTAAAGGCTTTGTGTCCTTACTGCTGGAAGTTTATTTGCTGGTTTACAGTAAATGCATGGATAACATTAAGTGCTGCTTTAATATACAAGACAGGTATGAGGGTTTCTGAGCAACCCCAGGAATTGTGATCTAGGTCAGTGATAGAAGAGGAAGAGATAGGATGATATATTTTTATCATCATATATCCCTCTCATTAAAAAGCATTTGTTAAACACCCACATGCATGTATCATAGTTGTCAAAACAAAACAAAAAGATGTTTTACTCCAATCAACTCTTGATTTTATTAATCCTGTTACCTATTTTCTGGAAATCCTTTTTCCACTCAGCAGTACATCAACAAGCACAGGGGGGGAAATGATAAACCTCAAACCAGTCAACCTAATTTTGTTATTAGCCATAGTTAAACGTTTGCTGAGGGAGAAGATTGAAGCCATTTGTAAAATGAGGTTCATGTTTGTGGATTTCAATTTTCCATGCCATTCCTTGTCCCTGTTTCCAGGGATAATCAAGAGTTGGATGAATCTAAAACTATCATTTCGGAGCAAGATTTAGCTGCTGTCAGAAATCATAATTAACATCAAAAGACATTTATTCCACCCTACTTTCATATAAGGCATTTTACCACTGGTAGTACCAGGGACATTTGAAAAAAGTAATGTTATGGCAGTCCTCTTGCCTCGTGCACATTTTCTTAGAAAAAGCAAGCGATGAGTATATAAGTGTAAAACCTTCAACACGATGGGAGGAAAGAGTACAAGTATTTTTTTCCCTCAATAATTAGATTCAGATTCTTAGGAGTCTGGCTGAAGGCATCAGCAGACATGTATCATCTCACCCAGTTATCCCAAAAGGGAAGTTTGAATGTCCAATTTACACAAATGTGTTGACTTAGGTTTTGCAAATGAAAGACTTTTTTCAAACGTCTCATCCAATGTCCCACATCAGAACTTGTCTCAATCTTCCTTTGCAGTAAAAAGAGACAGCTCTGCCAATTTTTCTGTGATCTTAGGAAAATCACTCACTTAATATTTCTGGGTTTCCCTTCCCTCATCTTTAAAATGGGAGCAACAATATCTACACTGTGAGGTTGTTATGGAGAAGAACAAAAAGGTGACTTTGGATGTACAGTCACTGCACATCTAAATGTCCTCTTGAGTTGTTTCGTTAATCCAAATGTCCTATTGAGGTATCTTTTTTTAAAATGTACACGAAGCTTGATAAAAATGCAGTCAAGCAATACATACTATTTGTAGCAATTTCCATATGTCAGCAAATGGAGATCTATGTCATAATAAGTTATCTTTGAATATGGTATTCAAATCATATTCAATTTCATGAGTGGATTCCCCTGTATTGACATTTGCTCTACAGAGTCTTACCAGCTCATAAGTAGCATCTTTTCTTCTTTTTTGCTAATTATATAAGTTTTAGGTGTACAGCTTTATAATTCAACATCTGTATACACTACAAACTGATCACCACCCCTAGTCTGGTTACCACCACCATATAGTTAACCTTCTTCATCCATTTTGCCCACTTCCAACCGCCTTCCTCTCTGGTAACCACTGGACTGTTCTCCATATCTATGAGTTTCTTTTTGTTTTCTTTTGTTCAATCATTTGTTTTATTAGGGCTTTTTGGTTTTTATTTTTAGATTCCACTTATGAGTGAAGTCCACTGGTGTTTTTCTCTTTCTATCTCCTCTTTCTTCCTGGCTTATTTTGTTCAGCATAATACCCTCAAGGTCCACCCAGGTTGTCACAGATGGCAAGATTTCATCCTTTTTATGGCTGGGCAATATTCCATTGTGTGTGTGTGTGTGTGTGTGTGTGTGTGTGTATACACACAATGTATGTATGATTGTATACCTATATACAATGTATATTGATGTATGATATACAATCATATATATATAGTATACAGATACACAATGGAAAAATATATATACACATACAATGGTATACATATGTGTGTGATATATATATATATGTATATATATATATATATATATATCTCTCACATCTTTATCCATTTGTCTGTCAATGAATACTTGGGTTGCTTCCGTATCTTGGCTTTGTAAATAATGCTGCAATGAACATAGGGGTGCATAAACCTTTTTAAATCAGTGTTTTCATAATCTTCAGATAAATACTTAGAAGTCAAATAGCTGGGTCATATGGTCTTTCTACTCTTAATTTTTTTGAGGAATCTCTATACTGTTTTCCATAGAAGCTGCATCAATTACGACCCCACCAACAGTGCTCACAGTTTCCCTTTTCTGTACATCCTCTCCGGTACTTGCTATTTCCTGTCTTCTTGCTCCTCATTCCAGCAGACATGAAGTATACTCACTGTGGCTTTGATTTGCATTTTTCTAATAATTAGTGATGTTAAGAATCTTTTTCTAATGTTGAAGTCACTGCACATTTGAGTGACTGAGCTTTGAATAATTTTGTGGAAGTATCACACAGTCTCAAAGACCAGCCAACATTAGCTAGTTAATTGGGAATTCTCTGGTTTTTGAAGTGAATGCCAAGGTAGGATATAATATGCTTCTGCTTCAGAAACCCTGTTAGGGTAATCCTACTTTGGAAATACTCACAATCTATCTTCCAAATTTGCTGAAAGAAATGGTCCTCAGCCTTCAGAAAAAGCCGATAGGCAAGTAGATATGGTCATCATTTACTTCTTTAGTATAGAGTGTTATTAATACCTAGGAAATTTATCAAAAGAAACCTTTACCTTTTTATTTTCCCTTTTAAGGAATTCACTAACTAAAATTAAGAAGACATTGCTGAAATGGGTGTTTCACAAATTGCTATCACAGAAAATCTGGTTACTCTTTTCCCCTTTATAACCTAATTTTCAGCTTTCCCAACTCAAGGGACACCCAACAATGAAAATACCATGTAATCCTCACCTAATATATTCCATTAAATCATCCAGGGTCATTCAGCTCTTTGGGTGTTGGTATCATTATAAATCTTTTTCTGGGAACCTAATTTTTATATGAAGTATATATACATAAATTTCATAAATATTTGATGGAATAGTTTATTATTATTATTTCTTTCTAAACTTCTGCTCAGCTCTTCTGGTGATTTGTAAGGACAGGTTCATGTTAAATAACATCAGGTATTTTACTATACTATTTATAATGCATGCTTCTAAATATTTGTGGGTAATTTCTAAAATGAGTCTGAGCAGAGGATCTTTGAGAGGAAAAAGTATCATTAGTATCCCTCCTCGGCTAATTTAGCCAAGCACATTCCAGAACTCTCCCAATCAGTATATTAAGCAGATGTGGTCTTTGTCCACCTAGTATGTTGCGTTAGACCTTTCAACATTCTGCAGTCTTTTTATCACTCAGCTGCCAAGTTCCCTAGGGTAATCATAGACAGCTTGTCAATTTAATTGCAAAGAAACAGGCTTTCTTGTGACCATTCCAATTTTAGCTGCTACTTTAAATTGTACATGATAGTTCTTCCATGCTGTCTGCCCTTTAAACAGTGTGGCTCTCTGCAAGCCTCTTAATGGTGATGGAAAGAAGAGGCAGGAATGAAAATCTGGCTTGCTGATAGAGCCTACAACATGCATTTTATTAAGTTGCTGCTTTCAGAAAGGAAGTTTCTCCTTGAGCCCTGTATGTCACCATTACATTGCCAACACTAAATTATTTTTTTTTCTTTTCAGTGTTCCACTTTCATGCATATTTTCCTCCTTTCTGGGTGATAGAGGATTCACAGGCCATCTGGATTCTGAAACATCTGGACACTGAATTTCTGCAGAGGAGAATCAGAGGAAAGAGACGATCAGTGGTACTGGGTGTCTCCGGAGAGATTTAAATCAACGATGATATTTTGGTTGTCTCCCTCTTGGAACATTAACACAAAATGTGAAAGGAAAAAACAACACATCACAGGAACCCAGTGTTCCAAGAATACCAAGACTATATAAGAAGGTAGGACTTTAGATAAGAATTTAAGTCAGTAACTGGATCTGTCTCTATATTTGATACAATTTCTAGAATTTTCCCCTTTTTTTTCAATTGTTACCCAATTTTGGGGGCTAATTTAGTTAGATATACTTGTAACACTGCTAGGTTTAGATGGGTGCATCCTTTGAACATACTTTACCTTAAACGATGTATAATTAAGTTCAATAAACCTTTATTTAGTAAGTCTTATATGTAAAGTCACAGAACCATCATATTAAAAGTGTGGATATGGTCAGTTTAATAGAATGATTAGACATGAGCACCACTTGGGTAAATCAAGAAGAGTTACATTTCTAAGATGCACGGAAGAAAAATAGTACAAAGAGATAAACAATGTTTCCCAGAGCAGTCGGGGTTATAAGTTTCTGGAGCCAAAAATGAAGAACCAGGCATGCCTGGGTGGCTCAGTTGTTAAGCGTCTGCCTTGGGCTCAGGTCATATTCGCAGGGTCCTGGGATTGAGCCCTGCATCAGGCTCCCTGACCAGAGGGAAACCTGCTTCTCCCTCTTCCACTCCCCCTGCTTATGTTCCCTCTCTTGCTGTCTCTGTCAAATAAACAAAATCTCTTTAAAAAAAATCAAGAACCAAGAGGACAACATGTGAGTGAGACAGGGTCTCAGACCTTTAAAAGGTTCAAATGCAAATGCCCTCCCACAAGCTCAGCTTTAGGTACATGTGTATGTGAATGTGTTAGGATCTGCAGCAAGTTGGAGGTTGTTCTGGAAATGTGCAGGGGACACCTCTTCTAGGCCATTGATCTTGGTGTTAACATACAGAATAGGACTGCACGGTTCCATACAGTCTAGCTAGCCGCAAGCATGGTGTTTATTCATTACCCTCAGCCTGTCCCCGCTAAGGCAGCCAGGTCCATTGCCTTTCCTGAACTTGACCTTCAAAACCAGAACAAGTGGGGTCGTTGCCTAGACTGCTCAGTGAGTCTCAAGAGCAAGCTCTTAGACCAATATTGGAGCTTCTCTTTGGTGCAAAGCCACTAGGTTTAGCTGTCGGCAAGTATGAGGAGATGTTCAGATGCTAGGATTTATGTTCCCCACTATTACAAATTTCTTTTACTATATTTTCTCTGGTAAATATTTGGCCTCTCAGTAATAGATTTTCAATTGCTACAAAGTACTCTTTAAAAGACGTGAGTTTGAAGGACCTAATCTTCTACACCTTCAGGCAAATTTCCTAAACATTGTGATACTCTGCCACATTAAAAAGAAGAAAAAGTTAAAAATGTCAGTTTAAGTTGATTTCTAGGAACCCAGAACAGTTCAAAAGAAAAAAAATCTAACAGTAAAATTTTAGTAATTATTTTTTTTAATTAAGTGCAGCTACACTTAAATACAATAACTCTTTGGTATAAAGGACTACAGACACATTCTCCGGTTTCTGCCAGTCCGTTCCATTGTGTCCTTAATTTCCTCTAACTGCATCTTCAGTGAGACCCACAATGAAGCACAATATTAGATGTTCACTTGTATGATATCAACCTTGTATGAAGAGAATGAATAAAAAATGAAGTTCTTAGATGTGATCTATTTCAGATTAGCCATTTTCATTTATAAAACTGTTTATTTTACTTCGTCAGCTTGAAGGTCAATCCAACTTCAAATTGCATATTGCAGAATTTCAACAAAGATATGAGGCCCATCTCTGCCTCCTTTAAGACTAAAGGTGAAAAAAAAAAAAAGAAGAGAAAAGAAAAAAAAGACTAAAGGTGAAAAGCTAAGTCTTAACACAGTCTTAGGCAGAGGTTTATGAAATATACCAGATCCCATTGATACAAGACTTGCAAAGACACTCTTCTTCAAAGTCAAGACATCAGGGCCTGGACCACATCAGTGGCGATGGCAACAGGATTAGCATGTATTAATTGTAGACATCAACCCAGAGCAAGCTGTTAAGAGCAAGTTCAAGGGAATACTCCTCATATACTAAGGGAAGAATAAACAACAAGAATCATAACAGCTATCATTTATGAAGCACTTCTGTGTATCAGGGACTATTCTGTGCGTTATCTCTCTACAATAATTCTTTGAGGTAGGTACTGTGGTTATCACATTTTACAGATGAAGAAGCTGAGGGACATGGACGGTAAGAAGCTTGGCCAAGATCACACGAGTAAGTACATGAAGGAACAAGGATTCAACCCAGGCAGAAAAAGACCTATTCCCATTTTCTGAGTGACAATGCTAGGTGTATATGCAGTACAAAGAACACCATGAAGGACACAACTCAATATGCTCAGATATTGACGTCCACTAAAGCAAACCCAGCCCCTCCCACTTGGAGCGCATCGTCATTACTATAATTTTATATTTCATCCCATTCCACTTGTGTGTAAGCTTCACTTAGAGACCATGTCTGTTTTGGTCACATCGTAATGTCAGTGCCTAGCATATTACCTTGTCACACTGTAGCCATTAGGTATTTATTGACCAAATATTTACATTTATATTTATTGACCAAGTATTAATAAGTAGGTCTATTGGATATTTTTTGAAATGCGATTTCCCGTGAGACACTGTCTTTAAACCTAAAGAGGTTTAAAATAAGGCCACATCGTCTAGTGTAAAGAACATGGGAGTCAGACATAAAAACTTAGGCTCTAGTCCAAATATTGCAATATCCCAGTGTTGTGGTCTTGGACAAACCGCTAAACCTCTGGCATCTCAATTTCATCATCTGGCCAGCAAATATAATAAAGATACATTTCTTAAGCAAGTTTTGGGCATCATACAAACTATCATTATGACAACTACAGGGTCTTCTGTAAGATGATGAAATATCTAAAAAGACACAAATAAGGAAGCTAAATATTTTTTGTGGATCCTGGGAACAGAACACTGAACAGGAAGTCATAAATACTAAATGCGCATTTCACTGAAAAGACCTGATATCCTCAGACTTGACTTGAAATATACCTGGCTCCTTTTCTTGTAATGTAACCCATCTTGGTAATTGGTACTTACTAAAGGAAACAGCAGCATGGGTATGCCCAGCCTGGTTAGGCCCAGATTGAAGCATTTCTTAAGTGATTTATGTTATCAAACTTCTGCCCCGTAAGGTGGGCTGGCTATTTCAAAATTTCTTAAAGTACCCCAAATTCTGTGTCCAGAGCTTAATTTTGTCCAGGGCTTCTACTCAAGTAGGACTTCTCAACATTCCAATCATGCTTCCTGAAGATACTGCCTCCTCTTATATTGGCTTTTTGAGGAAGCAGTCTTTTGTCTTCAGTAAGGAAAATAGTTTTGCTTTTTTGGTTACATATTTTCCTTTTCTGAAAGGACCAAGCTGAGAAACTACCGTGAGATAAAATCATAGATGCACTATTTCATAGAGAGTGAACCCAGATTTATTTTTCTTTGATGGGAATTTTAGCAATGCCCACAAAATATATGGCTTTCCTAAATCAGTCACTTACAAAAAGGAAGTATGCCTGTATTTGGCAAACGAATTTAAAAATGGATCCTCATACTGTAAAAATTCCTTTATAAATTCCTGTATAAATTACTAAATAATTACTAAATTCCTTTATAAATTACTAAAATAATTTTACCATTTTAACCTTTTCTTACACCAATTTTAGTCCCAGATGAAAACCATAAATTTTAAAATATTCTTTTAAAACCACATTACTGTAACAAAAACCACTGTAACAAAAACTATGAATAATTCTATTATTAAGTATAATAATAGCTGACTTTTTTTATGATTATAAGCATTAGTAATATAAAAACAGATTTTTAAAATTGCAAACACGTCTCAAAAAGTGACCTGTCCGGGAGTTCTTAACTTGTGGTCCACACATAAAAGTAAGAAAGTCTTTGAATTTGTACAGAAACAAAAATTTTACATTTATCACATTATCTCTGATTAAAATGTTACATTTCCTTCCATTATGGATCTTAGGAACAGCTCACAATGGTATTACCAGGACTGTGATTTTGTCACCTACAAAAATCACAAACATTTTCAAATTACAGTTACTACAAATATTTCAAAATATCATTTTATCCAACACTACATCAAAATTATGGTAGTTATTAGACAAACTACTAGAGCATGTTAACTAATGTGTTAATAAAAACGAAACATATTTCTAAATCACGTCTTAATATTTTGCTAACTGCCTTTCCATATAATTGGTCTCCTTTGTAACCCTATGTATCTTACTTTATGCATTTAAACACTTTATTCTGAGAGGGAGTCTATAGGCTCACCAAACTGCCAAGGGGTTCTTTGGCACCAAAAAACCCCCCATTTCGATTCCCTATTTTAAAACCCCTATTTAAAAAAATCCTATATTAAATAATTTAGAGTATGTTATGGGCTGAATTGTGTCCCGCCAAAATTCATATGCTGAAACCCTAAACCCCAATGTGACTGTATTTGCAGATGGGGCCTTTGTGGAAGTAATTAAGGTTAAATGAGGCCATAAGAGAAGAGCTCTGGTCCAAGAGCATTAACATCCTTATAAGAAGAAATACCAAAGCTCATTCATTCTCCCTGCTAGTGAAGACACAGCAAGATGGCGGCCAGCTACAAACCCGAAAGAGAGCTGGTACCAGAACCACCCCATGCTGGCACCCTGATCGTGGACTTCCAACCTACACAACTGTGAGAAAACAAATTTCTGTTGTTTAAGGCAATCAATCTAGAGTATTTTGTCATGGTAATCTGAGCTGACAGATACAGAGTAAAATAAGCTTTTATCCTTTTTGAAGACTTCCTTACTACTCCCTTAGGTTGCAAACCTGAGTCCAATTGGGGAATACACTGGACCCCATCAAGATTCAAGCCCCGGAGCCACTTTTAAAGAGAAAGTCCTAGAAGTTATTTAAATGTCATAAAAAGGAGCCAACCTATTAGATAATAATAAATAACATTTTAAATACAGCTGTCATTTGTCTCAGAAGCAGTTGGCAATTCCTGCCACTGCTATCAGAATCTAATTCCAT